TTGGCAATAATAGACTCCTTGTAGTCTCTAATGATGTGACGTACGCACTCTATTTCAGCCAGGGAGTATGTGACCTTTGCCTAGGTCACATGAGGTTTAGGTCACATGAGTTCCAAAAATATTTAATTTTCTTCCTCAATCCTTGTTTCTACCACACAAAAAAACCCATAAATAATGTCAAGTTAGGTGACGTTTTTTTCTACTTTCTTGTATGTAGGATTTGCATCTCCCGGTAATTCAGGGCAGGCTTCTTATTAAAGTGGAACTTCACCCTTATCTTACAAATGACAGCAAGGGCACCTTTAAAAATGTTTAGTAATGGCAATCTACAAAGATGATTGCTTGATTTTTATTCTTTGCATTATGTCCTCCCCATTCTTCTCATGGTGACCATATTCAGTATGGGCCGATTACTCCATCTCCCTTTTACTTTCTGTGCTTCCTGGAACATGTGACAGTGCACACCATCTGGGGGGGGGGGGGGGGGAAATGGACATTTCAGGAGATTTTACAGTTTACAGATGAGATTTCCCATGAGGGCACTGGTGATGTAACCTTCCAGTGCCTCACTCAACCAAGAAGTGAAAAAACGGTAAATAATATTTGTTTAGTTAATGAATGTAAGATGATTTCATATCAGCAGAGCTGCATGCTGGTGTGACTTGTGAAAGGTGGTAAAGGTCCGCTTTAAGGATGGGGGGGAGAGCCATATGTAGATGGAAGTGCATTGCTTGGAGAAGCTTCATTTTGTACTGCAGGCAGAAACCAAGTTTGGCATAGTATTGTCAAATTGTTTGAAGTAGTTAAAACTAGACATAATGCAGAAGCCTTTACTTTTCATATGTATCACTTAAGTTTGTTTTTGCCCAAGACTCTTCTTTGTTAATAGTCCGGCAGAACTGGGGACATGGTGCAAAGATTCTTAAAAGACAGACACCAGTCGGTAATTCATCCTTTTGGTCTCCGCCCAAACCAGAACATTTGTTCTACGTGGACTAGCTCTGTGATTGTACTACTTTCTTAATGCAAGTTTACTTTTATGACTCACTGCAGAAAATGAAACTTTTCTGATTTAGACACTATGGAGATTTTATAACAACAGGAGTTGCTTTTCCATAAAGCCCATTTCTGGGCAAACAAAAAAGTACCCTTGCAGTGCGGCCCCCCCTCACTGCAAGAGTTAAAAGAGAACTATGGGATAAGTGTTTTTCCCCATAGTTCTCTTTAGGGTCAAGGTAGGACATATACTAGTCTCCTCCCGTGACCCAAAGCTCAGTATATAGCGAGCTATTGCTAGCCATATACTGAGAGTGGCACAGCCGGGACGGATCCCGGCAATACTGTCTGGATCCACACAGCAGGTGGATGCCTATCTAGAGGTAGAGCCAGCTGTGCCCGACCCCTTCCCCGTTCGTTCCTCCTGTCAGCACGGAGGATCGGAGAGGCGAGGGGGGAAATCTCTGCGGGGAGTGGTGACTAACAGTCACCGCTCACTGCAGGAAAGTGAGCGGATCGGTGCATGTTTCTGCTCACTTAACGATCGATAGAGCTGACCTGTGACAGCTTCTTTGTCACATGTCGGCTCTAACTATGAGGATGAGTGGAAATCACTCACCTCATAGTTCTCCTTTAAGTGTTTGTTTTTATCTAGGGGCTGGAGTAAAGCTGTTTTACTTACTTGATCCCCGCACCCTCCCAACTGCTAGACTGGTCTCTGCAGACTCCTAATCTCTGGACCCCAGCAGTCTAAGGGCGTCTGATGTCACCACAGCTAATGAAGGTTACATAGATCTGCATTAGATGCAAGGACACCAACGGACATTGCACCAGCTAGAGTAGAGGGGGGAATAGAAGAGAGTGGTGACTGCTGGGTGGAGCAGGAATCCGATAAGTAAATCTACCTTATCCAGCGCCTAGACAACAACAAGCAACGTATGAATCTGATCGGTGGCTTTGAGGGGGAAAAAAAACTTCTAGTTCTTAGAACATGTTAATGGATAAGCTACTATGGGGTATCTGGATCTGCCTTTGAATGCTGTTTGCCACTTGGAGCAGGGATGTTCTCGTTTCACAGAGATAAATAATTGGAGGTCCCCTGACCACCATTGACAAAATCAGCTGCTCTGAAGATCTTGAATCTTCTCTACTGGCTTGATTACAGATCTAGGTTTCGAGTGCAGTCTTGGTACAGAGGATCCTTCCTTCTCAGTATCCTCTTCCTCCACCCCTACAAACATCTCCCCATCCCCATGTGACATCTCCTTTCTGCCCCCAACCTTATTTTCTCAACAAAAGGAGGACACTGAGCCATTGGTCTGTGGGATTCCACATTACCACATTCATAAAAACCACATTTTTATGTAAAATGCAGAGGACATCTAGTTTGTGCATCCAGATGGCCCTGCTGACCTAGAGACGCTACCAGGCTAGCACCGGGAAACTTCTCCATGACCGCTGCATTGGATAATGTCACATTATAGATCTCATGACTAATCATGGTATGCATGGATGTGTCCCTGTATTGACCTAGTAGCAGCTCTACAGAATCATCTAAAGCACACTGCTTTATTTAATTAATTCAGGGTAAGTATTATTCTGGGAATGATAGAGGTGGCCCTGCTGTGACCCCTGGTCCTCCTCTACTCTATGTGTAGGAGCTCTGCTAGAGGAGCAAGAAGTGTTTTTCCAGAATGTATTACAATGGTTCAGCTGGCAAGGAATGTTAAGCAGACACTTGCAGGAGTCTGTTACACAATACTAGATTTCAATATAAGTGTCAAAAGCCAAAAACGCAGGGGAGAGAGAATAACTAACTGATACATCAATGCAGCCTGAATCAACGCCAGCAAAAATAAAAATTCTCTAGTGATAAACGGCTTTCTGATAAGAAATGGTCTGGGTTTTACAGTTAAGGCTTCTTTTCAGAAATGATTATGTGCATTTAGAATATAAAACGTTTGTTATATTCCAGACAGCCAAGTGTGGCGTATCATGTCACAGTACTCCTTCCACCGTATAGTGTAGGATCTAAAGTGCAACTGCAATCTGACAGCTAAATGATAAAGTACGTGAATGTGAACCCATTAACCTGGCAAAGATAATTGGAATTCTGTTCAATCAATCTTGTGATTCACATACTGCTGTTACAACCAGACAGTGGCCCCACTATTCAGATCCTGCATGCCTGCAGGTTTCTGTGTCATCTACTTGCTTCCAGCCTGTTCATTGGATGATGAATGAGTATCACCCCACCAGTGAGGTCCTTCTGTCCACTCCTTCTTTTTAGAACCCTCTTAAACCCCTCTTCCAAGTTATTATAATTACACAGTTTGCGCAGCGCTTTACAATATAAGGAAGACATTGCAATCACAACACAATGCAAGACAAGATGGTAAGGAGTGCCCTGCCCGTGAGGGCTTACAATCTAAAAGAGTGGGGCAAGTGATGCATTAGGAGGTTTTCAGTGATCTCAGGAGTTTCTCAGTTATCTGGCACCCACAAGGATCAGTAGTTGCCAGATAACTGTAGTTTCTGGTTGCTTGAGAGTTAATAGTAACTCTCAAGCAACCATCCCCCCAGAGCTAGTTTCTGTAGCCAACAGGTGAATATAAGCAGCCCGGAGCAATAGCCAGACTGCTATTGGCTATTTCAAATTGCAATAGCAGGCTGGCAATTGATGCCCTGCCCAATGAGCAGAGGAGCGGCTCTCTCAGGTCCACTCTTCTGCTCAGTGGATAGGAACAATAGCCAGCCATCTATTGCAATTTGAAATAGCCAATAGCAGGCTGGCTATTGAAACCCCCGCCAACTGAGCAGAGGAGCGGACCTGAAAAAGTTGAAACCCCCGCCCACCATGCAGAGGAGGAACACTAAGAAAGTTCTCTCTCAGGTCCGCCCCTTTGCTCAGTGGGTGGGGTTCCAATAGCCCAATAGCTATTGGCTATTGCAATAACAGGCTGGCTATTAAAACCCCACCCCCGAAGCAGAGAAGCATACCTGAGAAAGAAAGTTCTCTCTTAGGTTCGCTCCTCTGCTCAGTGGGTGGGCACAATAGCCAGTCGGCTATTGGCTATTGCAATAGCCGGCTGGCTATTTCTCTCCATTTACATTCTGCTGTCGACCATGGAATCTAGCCACCGACCGGCAGCAAGATGTAAACAAAGAATTTCATTAGCAGCTAAATACATTTAGTTGCTAACAAAAATTTTTTAGTGTGCACCAAGCAATCAACATTTATTTAATGTGCATCAAGCCACTAACAAAAAGAAAATCGAGGATATATTATTTTTTTCCTGACCCTCTCCTTTTCCCTCCTTCTTCCTTCATTCTTTTTTGTCTTCCTGTTTTTTCGCTTCTGTCATCCTTTTCTTTTTTTTCTTTTCTTGTTGTTTTTTGTTGTACTATGTTTACAATTCAGTTATAGAGTATTGTGTGCTACTACTTCTTCACCTCCAATGCTTGTTGTTTGACTTTGACAGGTCGGGATGGCCCTTTAGGCCTTGTTCACACCAAGCGCGGAGCAGGTCCAGAGCAGAGCAGGTGCAGACCGGATGAAAACTGCGTCCAATGTATTCCTATGGTATTTTTAGCTCCAGTTCACATCGCAGCGTGCAGGTCCAGAGCAGGTAAAAAAACTGCAGCAAGCCCTATTTTACCTGCTCTGGATCTGCAAACGTATCAAAAACGCATGCAAATGCCTGGAACGCACTGAAAGCCCATGTTAAACTAAAAAAAAAGCCAAAAACGCATCTAAAAGACTAGCGTGCGTGTGCAGAAACCTGACCGGATCTGCTCTGCGTGTGAACAAGGCCTAAGGCATCTCGGTTGAAACTTTACTAGCACACTTTTTGTTCTTTGTATGTTGATCGTTTTTGCCTACTTTTACTTTTATTCTCAGCCTCGTTATATACGACCTTTGTTTCTGAAAAAGCTCAATAAACTTTATTGACTGTAAAACATCCACAGTGTAGAAAGTTATAACTGTTTTTTTCCCCCCACAGAGAGCCCACACATTTGCCAAGAATGTGGTGGAAGCAAAATGTCGGCCAGGCTTTGCCAGAACAGAGATGAAACGATTGTTTTCCAACAAGTACAGCAGGGAACTGCTCAGCTTTGTCAAGAAAAACACATACTTCAATGAATCCTTTTACCAGTACGGCCCTCCTTTTGGATTTCGCCAGTACCTTAAAGAACTCAATGAGATCTTGGACATGATGTCGGAAGATGACCTTCCCAAGAATTTAAAACACAAAAAATGCAAACGCTGTATTGTCCTAGGGAGTGGGGGAATCCTGCATGGTCTGGAGCTTGGACACATAGTTGATCAGTTTGATCTTGTAATCAGGTAAATTGATTGAATGTTATTTCATTCAATGGAGGTTACAATCCAAGGTTTCTACCACAGTCACACATGCTGAGACCAGTTTAAGAGAATATGTCTGTGAAGATTCTCATTCATCCAGGTCATAGTATATCTGTAAAAAGTAAGTCGAGGCAACTGGACTGGCTGTATTTTACTTGAAGACGTTTCACTGGTCATCCAACCAGCTTTCTCAATTCAGAATGACGTGTACAGAGAGTTTTTGTACAAGTCATTCTGGATTGAGAAAGCTGGTTGGATGACCAGTGAAACGTCTTCAAGAAAAATACAGCAAGTCCAGTTTCCTTGACTTATTTGTTACAGATATAGTTTAGGAGAAGTCCATTTAACCCACCGGTACGTGAAAGTAGGACTATGGGCAAAATGCAATAATCAAACTAAATGACACTGCATACTTTCTGTATCTTTAACATTATCTAACAAGAACCTACTGGTCCTGCTGATGAATAGCACTTCCTCTGACAAGGTGACAACACTAAATAGCCTGCAGTGAGTTCACTGCAGCATTGTCACCCTGTCCAACTCCTGTAGCTATTAGAGCTCCGGGGCTCTGCAAGTATACTAAAAAGAAGCGTTTTCAGTGCTGTTGCCACTGAGAACAATTTTTACAGTCAGTGCAGAGCACGTTCAGTCCCCCCCAAGCATTGTGATTGACAGCACAAGGGAGAAGAGTGAGCTGAAAGCACACTCTTTCTGAAAGCTCACTCAATTCCTGCAGACGCTGAAAGCACAACATCTGCAGGAATTGAGCCCTGGACTCCTCTCAGCTCTGTCGCTGTGAGAAGGCCTTCAGACCCTCTGATGATGTTACAGGGGCTAATAATGGAGGTTTCGAGGTAATTAACAAAAACAGACAAACATTGGTTGGATATTTATGGTGAAAAAAAATAATATGTACATAGAGAGACATTAAAGGAAATTTACAGACTTTAGGCCTTGTTCACACCAAATGCAGAGCAGATCCGGTCAGGTTTCTGCACACGCAGTGCAGTGGATTGTGCCGCGTTTTTGATGTGTTTTTGATGCGTTCCAGGTCGTTTTTGGTTAAAAAAAAAAAATTGAAGTTTAACATGGGCTTTCAGGCACTTGCATGCGTTTTTGATGCGCTTCAGAGCAGATCCAGAGCAGGTAAAATAGGGCTTGCCGCAGTTTTTTCACCTGCTCTGGATCTGCACGCTGCGATGTGAACTGGAGCTCAAAATACCATAGGAATACATTGGACGCAGTTTTCATCCGGTCTGCACCTGCTCTGTTCTGGATCTGCTCCGCCCTTGGTGTGAACAAGGCCTTAAACTTAAACTAAGTCACCTCCGAGTCAGTAACCTTTTACATGTTTAATGTTTTGTGTGCTGTTTAATGCTTTTATGTGATGTATAATTTCATTTGAACTTTTACACAATGGTGTTATGCATTACGGCTTCTTCTTACAATGCTAACCTATGAGTCAGCTGACTCCATGAAAACAATGCCACCGCCCCCCCCTGTGTGTGCAACAGATATTGAAAGAGCTCAAATAATTGCACCAAGCCAATGAGCGTTCCAGCCGGTGGCTAATCTACAAGTTCAATCTGTATTGAATACAATAGCAGAATTATGAAATGGCAAGTTTGTTAAAAAATGTCACATTTTATGAGCCATCAAAAAAATATGGTTTTATGGTAATCATAACATAAAATATTCAATAACTGAAAACACATTGGGGGGAATTTATCAAAACTTGAGCAGACAAAATCTGGAGCAGATTTGCACTGCAGCCAATCAGCTTCTCTCTATCATTTTCAAATCTTACCTGAGCAAACTGAAGAGAGACGCTGATTGGTTGCTATGGGCAACTGCTCCAGATTCTGTTTGCTCCATTATTGATAAATTCCCCTCATTGTACTTTCCCTTGAATACATTAGCCACCATAGTGACCCACCCAACCTATTTTTGTCTAGCAACATTGTTCTTCTCTCTTGCCGAGTCACTGTACTTGTAAGATAGCTGTAGGCTGGAACAGTCTTTTAAATTTCAAAGTGTGTTCCCTTGTTTATTTTAATCGGTTATTTTTACCAGGAACTGCCCCCGCTTCTCAGAAATGATCTGTCTTTCACACTTTTGGGGCCGAAAGCCTCAAACAGTTTCATGGCATTTAAAGGTGCCGATAGACTTGTGTTTGGTTTCACAAACTCCCATGTCTTCATATCTTCCGTCCATTTGTTTGGCTAGCAGTTATGGGGATATAAGGCAGAGCCAAAAGTGAGATAAAGGTTTGTCCTTAACAGTGTGTAGATACCAGAATTGGATCAGAGAAAGACATCCTGCACCAGGAATAGTGCAGTAAAAGCAACTTTCAAACTTGTGGACAAGCTTGACCAGGTTTTATTCTTGGTAATGCTTTCTTTAGGGTAGGGATGGGAAACCTCGCCACTCCAGCTGTGGTGAAACCACAAATCCCATCATGCTTCTGGGGGCCATGTCTGTGGCTGTCAGAGTCTTACAATGCCTCAAGGGACTTGTAGTTCCACCACAGCTAGAGTACCGAGATTGAGACATCATATCTTAGCTTTACTGTGTCTGGTTGCAGACTCAAGCCTTTTTGGGGGTTTACAATGTTTTTTTTCAAGCTGGTAAAAAGACATGGGACTGTATGTGACATATGTTTATATTAACTTATACTCTAAATAAATAATCACTCGACACTCTATTAATTTAATTGGCAGCGGCATTTTTATTGGATAAATATTAAATCATACTCTAATAACCAATCTTAATAATCAACCAATAACTCTTATACTTCCACCATATTGCCCCGTTTTCGAAACTCAAGCAATATATTAATCAAGGGAATAGTCCCCCTCTCCTGAGGTGACAAACCACATAAAAATACCGCGACTAGGGAGGGAGGGAGGGAAGCTTCAAAACGGGATTCCAACTGGATGATTTTAATCATATCGGCACCTCCTTATATACGGCATAAATCCCAACTGCCATCCATTCTCGTGGCGATGTTTTCCCGCCAAAATAAAGTTTTTTCCCGGCGAAAAATTCCGCCGTTGGAAACTCTTAAAGAGGCAGTGCACTAAAATACAAAAAACTGGGAAAAACACCAAAAAATGCATCTAACCTAAAGTCCCCACATTCCCATGAAAATGGGCATCTAATGGATGCCATTTATACAATCTCTGTAGATCTGGATTAGTCCCTTGCTTTGGTAGACTTTGGTATTGGTCTGTGCAGGTTGCCTGTCTTTTGTCCCTTGGTCTGGTGCTTTGATGATTGGAAAACTTTGTTTGACTACTAAGGTTAGTCAATGGAGTAAAACCCCAGCCCATACACCAGGGCTGCTCAAGTTTCTCATGGCCCCCCCTAACAGTCCTTGTTTTTCAGTTCTCTCCATAAGCTTATAGTTAGCGTTATTCTCTTACATAGTTTGCTAATTAAAGCCGTTGTCCCCTGACCTAGTAGAGGGAAAGACAACCATGAACATCTCATCTCCCCAAGAGTAAAATGCACTGTATAGTATACCTATTTGCCTCATTGCAGTCAAACGTGATAGTGACCCACCCAACCTCTTTCATTTCTTGTCCAGCACTGCAACATTGTTCTTCACACTTGCCAAGTCATTGTACTTGTAAGATCACTGTAGCCTGGATCAGTCTTTTAACCTTTAATGTGTGCTTCCGTGTTTGTTTTAATAGTCTGTTTTTACTAGGAAATGCCTACTGCTCTTCTCCATTCTGGAATAATCATTCTTTCACACTTTGGGCATGTTAGCAGACCTTGAGAACCAGAGCTAAGCACCACCATCAAAGACTACTATGATATTGACTGCTAGACTGTAAGCTGTGGGAATTTTTGGTGTGACCCACTTGCATATTTTGTGAGTATTTGGCCAAGGCTAGTTGTGGTTTTGCTCCTGTTGTCCTATACCTGTTGTGACAGGACAGTGCCATGTCACTATGGTGATTGGTGTGTTTGGTGCCCTGGACTCTCGGACAGAGGCGCTGAGAGGGTCCGGAAAACATATAGTGTTACAGGGAAGGAGCTGGGTTTCCAGTTCTTTCCAGGTTTTCTGGAGTATATCTGGGTCAGGCCAGGCTGTCCAGGTGGCTGATAACAGCCCTATTTAGGCTGGGTTCACACCTAGGCGTATTGAATATGAGCGTTTCGTGTTGCGCGTTTTAAACACGATTTGCGGTTTTAAAAAACGTGCGACAAACGCACGTTTCCGAGGGCTACCTGGCTGTATCCCAATGGATACGCGTGGCAAATACGCCCCAAAGAAGCTCCTGTACTTCTTTGGGCGTAGGGCGTTTTGTAGCGCGTTCATACGGCCTGTAATACGCCCAGGTGTGAACCATACCCATAGGAAATAATGGGATTTCGGTGTTTGAGCGTTTTGCAGAGCGTAGGAACGCGCTACAAAACGCCCAGGTGTGAACCGGGCCTAAGAGACTGGACAGAGAGGAACCGGGCCTAAGAGACTGGACAGAGAGGAAGAGGCAGTCAGTGGTGCAGGAGTACATGCAGAGCGTGAGAGATTGGGTGCATGTGACGCACGAGACACTGAGCTGGAGTCTGGCTGGTGAGGCCGAGAGGGCCTGTGGCACGTGCGGTGTGTGGGCGAGGCCAGGAGGGTCTGTGGCACACGAGGTGTGTTTGGAAAGGTTGGGGGGACTGTCATCACACAGGGAGGTGTGAAGCTGCTGGGTGTCTGCCCATGAGCAGGCTGAGGCTCTAACCCTGAGGTGGGACATGCTGAGCCAAATCTTGGATGTTGCTGGAAGATACACCCTGTTTATGTTTGTTTGTTTGCTGAAAAGAAGCAATTTAAGTTGTACTGTTTGGAAGAGAATAAAGTTATGTTCCAAAACGGCCTGGCTAAGGATCCTTAAGTACCCTAAAAGTTACACGGTGTTAATTGTCCACAGCTGGTCGTACACAGCTCCAATTGTGACTGATTCCTGTAAATTGGGGAAAGTTGGAGCTATGGGGGGCCCTGTACTATCTGGTTCAACAAATGTCAGTTTAAAAATCAACTGAACTGGGTAGAAATTCTTGGCTGAACAATGAGTCCCATGAGATGCAGGCAGTCCCTGTTTGGGTATTCAAGCAGCCATGGGTGCTTCTGCTACAGGAATACAAGGCACACTGTCGAGCGTAGATGGAAGAATCAAGACATTTTCTCTCATGGACTGAGTGAGTGAAAAATGAAAACTAAGCATGTATAGCTAGCCATCGTTTTGAATGAAAATGTGATGGAGACCATGCGAAGTGGTGAATTTTACATTTGTCTGCTTAGAACAGGATAGACTTTTCTCTCCCAGGTCCAGGAGAAAATCACTCTGCCTCATAGTTCTAGCCGACCTGCATGGATTCCCCCTCCCCGCTCCGATCCTCCAGCGCTGACTGGCAGAACAGACGGGGGAGGGGGCGGTTACAGCTGGCTCTGCCTCTAGATAGGCAGAGCAAGCTGTCACTCACGCAGCTGGGTGGATCCAGACAGTAATGTCGGGATCCGTCCCGGCTGCGGTGTCTCAGTATACCGCAAGCTGTAGCTCGCGGTATATACTGAGCTTTGGGTCACGGGAGGGCGCTGGTTTATGTCCTCCCGTTACCCTTAGGAGAACTATGGGGAAAAACACTCACCCCATAGTTCTCCTTTAATATCCGTTTCTATTTAACCTCTAGATACAAAATTCTTCTGTCTGTCCCACAATCCATCCACTTGGATGACCATCTCTTTATCACCTTCTTTTTACTTATTTCACCCTACTCCTCCCTGTATCTCTCAATCTCTCTATTTGTGGGTCCATTTTTGGTTTGTTGACATGGGTTTCCTCCCACATCATGAAATCTTGTAGGTTGTAAGTTCTCACGAGCAGGGTCCTTCTACTCCTTTGTATGGTAATGTTTTGTAATTGTACTGTCTCCCCATATATTGTAAAGTGCTGGATAAACTGTTGGCGCTATATAAATCCTTTATAATAATAATACTGGTAATTTATTTGGAACCTTATGAAACTTGTCCTCTATATGTGTGTAATGATGATTATGCGTGTGGTAGACATATTGATTTGATCATTTCTTAGGGGGCAGAGACTGATGCAAATGCTTCATTGTACTCCATAAATCTTGGCATAATATTTTAGCACTTCATAAACTCAGGAACTGGATGATGTATCTAACCCAGCGTCAGATATTCTAGAAACAATTTCCTTTTCTTGTATCGAGAATTTGATATAATGCCAGCAAACCTGTTCATTGTCTTTCTTTATCTTAGACTAAACAACGCTCCAGTAGTCGGATATGAGCGGGACGTTGGAAATAAAACCACCATCAGGATGACGTATCCCGAGGGGGCCCCGGTCTCTGAGCAGGAGTATTTCGGTAACAGCCTGTTCGTCACTGTCCTCTTCAAACACGTGGACTTCCTATGGCTGCAGGCCATGCTGAAGAACGAGACGCTGGTGGGTCAGCTATGTTTCAAGCGGATATGTTTCAGGGATTGTTGTAAAACTATAAATATTCTGCGCTCCTGGTGATAATACAGATAAGAAAAAAAAAAAACCTTTTAATAGCTGCTGTAAAGATATAAAGATCTATTAACTAAATACATGTTATAACTAGAAATGTGTAAATGATGTATAGAGTGATTAAATAAGATATACATAACACGCAGGGGTGGACAAATGAACATGGAATTCAGGAGCCCATCTGTGGTTTTAGCAGAAATATAAATTGACAATAACGAGAGAAAACCCGAAAAGTTGGGCGGCAGCTGTAATGTTTTAGGAGCATTGGCTACCTGGCTCCTGGGATTTCCAGCCCTGAAATAACATTTATTTACTATGTAACTATGTAACTTTGTAACATTTATAGTCCCAAGTAGGGATGCACTGATACCGATACCAGTATCGGTGCCGATGCCGAGTATTTGGGTGGGTACTGGGCCAAATGCTTCGATGCCTACCCCGATACTTCCGGTATCAGGAAGCTGGGCAGCGAATCATTACATGCTGCTCGGCTTCCTGTTTGGTCAGGGAGCATGGAGCCGAATCCCCAGCCAATCAGGAAGCCAGGCAGCATGTAATAACTCGCTGCCCGGCTTTCTAATTGGTCTGGAAGCTGGCCAATAAGGAGCCGGGCGCCATGTAATGACGTGGCGCCCGGCTTTCTGATTGGCTGGAAAGCCTGCTTCATGCTCTCTCTTCACCTCATGATGAGAGAGCATGGAGCCGGCATCCCGGCCAAGCAGGAAGCCGGGCAACGCGTCATTACACGGGGCCTGTCTTCCTGATTGGCCAGAAAGCCGGCTTCATGCTTTCTCGTCACCTAGTGACGAGAAGCATGGGGGCGGCTTCCTGCTAATCGGGAAGCCGGGTGGCGAGTCTTGACACACTGCCCGGCTTCCCGGCTAATCAGGAAGCCAGGTGGTGAGTCATTACATGCCACCTAGCTTCCTTAATGGGACTTCCGGTATTGGTATTCAGTATAGGCGAGTAGCGAAAAAAATATATCGGTACTCGTACTCGGTACTGAAATACCGGTATCGGTGCATCCCTAGTCCCAAGGATGAGGTAAATGACCACATGCTCTTCCACAAAGAAATGTCCATACAAATCTAAAGTAGGTCTAGAGGCACTCAAGGGTCCTCCTCTATGTTGCTATGTGTGGCAGTGGATGAGGTCCAGTACCGGGTTTGGCAATCGGTGGAACAAACCGGCCGCATGTCTGCTTTGCAGCGGAATAACTGATCTTCTAGTACAGGCAAGGGTAAGAAACATCTGGATTGAGGCTCCAGGGAGTTTTGTTCAGCCATTGCCGTGACTAACGGGTTTTCAAAGCTGCTGCTGAGCTTGCAGGTGCATTCATCTAAAACAATCATCCCTAGAAAGGATTACATAAGCACAGCCAGTGATTTGGTCATATGCCAGATGTGATTCTTTTTGTTCTTGGAAAATAAGCTTTGTGCAGCAATTTGTCCTATAAATACAATTTCCTTCTTTTGAAATGCGGGCTGTGTGGGTGACACTTCCTTTTTTCTTTTTTTTTTTTACAAAGCACATTTTTATTTGTGTACCAAACTTGTAAACAGCATCGGTGAGTTAAGAGCGCACAGTATACTGTAGAGATTGAGGGTAGGGTAGGTAGTCTGTACATGGGAAGTAGTCTCCTCCCAAAAAAAGTTTCAGTGCATTACGATTGTTCAAGGCTTAAAGAAGAACTCCGGGAATTTAAAAAACTTACCTTTGCAGTGGAGCTACCCCCGCACTGCAAGGGTTAACTGCTCGTTTTGTCTAAGGGGGTCAAATAAAACAAATATATTTTCACCTGATCCTCGGTCCTCCAACAGTCAGCATTCACCTCTCTCTCTGCTCCAGCTGTCGAATCTCCCTTGGCGTCCTCACGTCTAATGTTGGACCTGCATAAGACGTGATGATATCACATACAGGGGCGATGAGGCTGCGGGGACCAATCTAGCAGTCCAAAGGAAGTCAGTGGGCCTGAGAATCGGGCAAGTAAATCTGTTTTATTTGAGCCCTTTAACAAAATGAGCACTTAACCCATAAGTCCCGGGGTAGAGTTCTTCTTTAATCTAGTTCCTTGTACTTCCAGATTAGCGTGAAACCGGCGTGACAGACTTCGCTGGGATAAAGCTTCTCAGATGGTCACCATGTAGGCAGTTGCAGCTGCTTAAAGGGTTAGTTCACCTTTCTGCAGTTACAGAAGGCTTCTTAAAGGGTGATTTCACCTTTCTGCAGTTGCAGAAGTCTGCTTAAAGGGTTAGTCCACCCATCCGCAGTTGCAGATGGCGGCCTAAAGAGTTAGTTCGCCTTTCTGCAGCTGCAGAAGGCTGCTTAAAGGGTACGTTCACCTTTCCGAAGTTGCTGAAAACTGCTTAAAGGGTTAGTTCACTTTTCTGCACATTCTTCAAAAAATATCACATGCTTCCATCATCCCCAGCACTTTGCAAAGCTCTGTCCGCATGTTAAAACGCTGCCCCTTTTCCATTACATACCTGTAGGTCCTGAATGCCCAGCCTGTCTGCAAAAATCTCTAGGTGGCTGACTCCCCTCCATCCTGGCTAAACAGCAGGACAGGCCAGAGGTTAGCAGTGCACAGGGGCACAGTTTGAACGGGCTGGGAACAACTGCTAGGGCCACTTCTAACGTCCAGTCCGACCGGGTCAGTGAACAGCATAGATTGAGGAATCCTCACGGCTGGCTATTGAATTCAGAAGCTGTGACACCCATACCATTAATTTTCCACCAGACTTTTTTCTTTTTCTGCTGACAGGGCCACTCATGGCTCTAATTTTGGCTGATTCGCAGGAATCAGTCAAAAGCTGAGTAGTCAATAGCCAGCATTAATTCACCCTGGGCACCCAAGAAATGCTGAGCATGTACAGTCGGTGTACATCAGTGTACAATCGGAAGAAGTGTGCTACCAGGTAAGGCAGAAGCTTTCATGGCAGAAGAGACAAGTACAGTCTATTCTTCAAAAAAAAAAAGCTCACGTGCTTACAATCTAAAAAAACAAACACTTTAATAGCACTTCAAGCGTATTCTCACATTATTCTTTATTTATGTTTTACAGTCTACATGGAACAGATTGTTCTTCTGGAAGAGTGTGACGGAAAAACTCCCACTGAAGTCACATCAGTTACGCATACTGAATCCTCTCATCGTGAAAGAGACGGCATTGGATATCCTGCAGTTTCTTCCTCCCCGGCAGAAATGGTGGGGCTGGGACAAGGTACGTCCTCTGGAGGCATGGGGGCAGCAATACAGGATTACTATATAGTAATACATGACTGATTATAAACCATTATGAGCTTCTATGATAGTACTTTGATCTATGTACATCGGTGAATGACCCCATTTGACTTGCCCTTGTGCTGCATTTCTGCAGTTCAGAGGATAATAATCTGGATAGTGAGCAAGGATGAATTACACATTCCTGTACTTACAGTGCAACGTCTACTTTACCATGGAGAAGGGTTACTTTCCCTTTCAAGTTTTTACTACGTTGTTGCCAAACCAACTGATGACAAGTCTAAAGTACCCCACCCAGGCATTTTTCCCATTGGTTTGTTTGTATAAAGGAGGTAACAATATTAGAATGCCCATATGACACGGTATCTGAATTAGATTGTCTGTATGACAATGGTAGCAGCATTGGATTGTATAATTGATGGTGGTAGCAGCATTATATTGTCTGTATTATGGTGGTAGCAGCATTATATTGTCTGTATTATGGTGGTAGCAGCATTATATTGTCTGTATTATGGTGGTAGCAGCATTATATTGTCTGTATTATGGTGGTAGCAGCATTATATTGTCTGTAGTATGGTGGTAGCAGCATTATATTGTCTGTAGTATGGTGGTAGCAGCATTTGATTATCTGTGTGATAGTTGTTGTGGTATTATACTGTCTGTGTGATAGAGGCATTGCATTGTCTGTATGGTGGTTGTTGTGGCATTATATTGACAGTGTAATGGCGATTGTGGCATAAGCTTGTACGATAGTTGTTGTGGCATAAGACTGTCACTACAATAGTTGTTGTGGCAGTGGACTGTCTGTATGATAGTTGTTGTGGCATTAGACAGTCTAATGCCACAACAACCATCATACAGACAGTCTAATGCCACAACAACCATCATACAGACAGTCTCTAGGATGGTTGTTGTGGCAGTAGACTGTCTCTCTGATAGTTGTTGTGGCAGTACACTGTCTCTAGGTTGGTTGTTGTAGCAGTAGACTGTCTCTATGATAGTTGTTGTGGCAGTAGACTGTCTCTAGGATAGTTGTGGCAGTAGACTGTCTCTAGGATAGGTGTGGCAGTAGACTGTCTCTAGGATGATTGTTGTAGCAGTAGACTGTCTATTGGATGGTTGTTGTGGCAGTAGACTGTCTCATGGATGGTTGTCGTAGCAGTAGACTGTCTCTTGGATGGTTGTTGTAGCAGTAGACTGTCTCTTGGATGGCTGTCGTAGCAGTAGACTGTCTCATGGATGGTTGTTGTAGCAGTAGACTGTCTCTTGGATGGTTGTTGTAGCAGTAGACTGTCTCTTGGATGGTTGTTGTAGCAGTAGACCGTCTCTCTGATAGTTGTTTTGGCAGTAGACTGTCTCTAGGATAGTTGTTTTGGTAGTACACTGTCTCTAGGAGGGTTGTTGTGGCAGTAGACTGTCTCTAGGATAGTTGTTTTGGCAGTAGACTGTCTCTAGGATGGTTGTTGTGGCATTAGACTGACACTAGGATGGTTGTTGTGGCAGTAGACTTGTCACTAGGATGGTTGTTGTAGCATTAGACTGACACTAGGATGGTTGTTGTGGCAGTAGACTGTCTCTAGGATGGTTGTTGTAGCAGTAGACTGTCTCTAGGATGGTTGTTGTAGCAGTAGACTGTCTCTTGGATGGTTGTTGTAGCAGTAGACTGTCTCTTGGATGGTTGTTGTAGCAGTAGACTGTCTCTTGGATGGTTGTTGTAGCAGTAGACCGTCTCTCTGATAGTTGTTTTGGCAGTAGACTGTCTCTAGGATAGTTGTTTTGGTAGTACACTGTCTCTTGGATGGTTGTTGTAGCAGTAGACCGTCTCTCTGATAGTTGTTTTGGCAGTAGACTGTCTCTAGGATAGTTGTTTTGGTAGTACACTGTCTCTAGGAGGGTTGTTGTAGCAGTAGACTGTCTCTAGGATGGTTGTTGTAGCAGTAGACTGTCCCTTGGATGGTTATTGTGGCACTGGATTGTCTGTATGGTGATTGTTGTGGCATTATATTGATTGTATGATGGTGATTGCGGCATTAGCTTGTATGATAGTTGTTGTGCCACTAGACTGTCTCTATGTTAGTTGTTGTAGCAGTAGAATGTCTCTTGGATGGTTGCAGTGGCACTAGACTGTCTCTAGGATGGTTGTTGTAGCAGTAGACTGTCTCTAGGATGGTTGTTGTGGCAGTAGTCTGTCTCTAGGATGGTTGTTGTAGCAGTAGACTGTCTCTAGGATGGTTGTTGTAGCAGTAGACTGTCTCTAGGATGGTTGTTGTGGCAGTAGACTGTCTCTAGGATGGTTGTTGTAGCAGTAGACTGTCTCTAGGATGATTGTTGTGGCAGTAGACTGTCTCTAGGATGATTGTTGTGGCAGTAGACTGTCTCTAGGATGATTGTTGTGGCAGTAGACTGTCTCTAGGATGATTGTTGTGGCAGTAGACTGTCTCTAGGATGGTTGTTGTAGCAGTAGACTGTTCCTTGGATGGTTATTGTGGCACTGGATTGTCTTTATGATTGTTGTTGTGGCATTGTATGATAGTTGTTGCCACTAGGCTGTCTCTAGGATGGTTGTTGTGGCATTTTCTGTATGATGGTTGTTGTGACATTAGATGGTGAGCTCCTTTAGGACAGGGTGAATGGTCCAGTGTTGTCTATAAAGTACTATACAGGATGCTTTCTCTGAATAAAGAAATAAATAGATAATTACAGCCTTTCATTTTATTATTCACTATGTCTTTGTCTTCTCTGTCTAGAATGTCCCCACAATCGGTGCAATCGCTGTGATCTTAGCCACACACCTCTGTGATGAAGTGAGTGTAGCTGGCTTTGGATATGACCTCAGTCAGCCGGACATCCCTCTGCATTATTTCGGAAACCTTTGTATGAACTCCATGAACAGACAGCCGATGCATGACATCACCAAAGAGAGGAAGCTGCTGCAAATGTTGGTACGGGAAGGTGTATTGAAGGACCTTACTGGGGGCATTCACTGTGACTTCTGCCCCTCCCATCAGACAGGGAGAGCACTTCATGTATGATGACCTGGTAATAAGCGGGTGTCTCTTCCACTACCGGTATACTCTGCCTGCTTCCTGTAGCACAACATTGTATGAAAGTGGGCCCTACTCATGCTGTGACCCTCCATCCACTTTAGTGTGACTCCACATGTGGGAGCGATGATGCTGGATCTTGAGGAAATTGATGTGATGCTTCTTGTACCTGAAAATCCTGCAAAAACCAAAATGGAAGCTGATTATTTTTTATTTCTGCAGAGAACGGCACTAGTTATCCTTCGGATTTGCATAAGGTCCTATTTGCTAGATGCTACCCTCAGTGAACACAATGGGTGAGTCCAAGTACAAGAAATGGCTGCAGTAAGACCTAGTAAGGGTGGACATGTGCCGCAGCGGGGGACTCATCTCTATGCCCACCATGCTGTTTTCAGATATTTATTCAATCATGAAGTCGTGTTTGATGGTTCTGGAAGGAAGCCTCTATCATGAGAACATATTGAAACTGTCCATCCCAGGCACACCACAGAAGCCATGTTGGGACCAGAACCATATCACATGATAACATCAACATCTATTTCATCCCAGAACATGGAGGACTGAGGAATATTCGATAGTTTTTATTTAATCCTGTAATGCAAAATAACTTATCAAAAAGTGCTGTATTATTATTTTACTTTTCACAATCTCTAAACTAGTATGCTATGACGTTTGTGATGACGCTGTAACTGTTGAGGACCACTGTCAAAGGGGAACTCCAATCATGACAGAAATGACTAGAGATTAGCAAAACTTATATCCGCTTAGAGGTCAATGTTAGATTACTCCTGCCAATGCTGTTTATTTGGGCCCATGTTGTGTAATAACGTAATCGTTCCATGGCCTGCTATTTCTGAGTGTCATGTGGACATAGTTCCACCATTAGGGTTTTCTCAACATCACCTGCTGGTTATCCTTGGTTTTGCTCCTGGAACAAGAAAATACAATTGCTCTCCTTTGGAAACCACCATATATCTACCTCCAGGCTGCCAAGTACTCCTGTTCTCAATGGGCCCTTTGGTAGATGGGACCCTTCAGGTACCTAATGTATATACTAATCAAATACTGGATTTCCAGTTTCATAGAGCTTTAAAGAATTACCTTTAATGACACTTAAAAGTCTGTGATCGTGAGCCAAGTACATATTTTTGACTTGCTGTAATGGTGAAGATCCACTTCTGCTATTGCAAAGTCATTGACACTCAGATAAGGTAGAGCCAAGGAGCCTTGCAGTATTGCATCTTCAGAAACCAAGATAGAATACAGCAGTGCACCAAAACACAAAAGGCAGATTAATATTTGCTCACACATTCAGCCAAGCTCAATAACAGATTGCAAAGTGTTTAAGAGCATAAAGTGGGAATGAAGAAGAATGATGGGCACCGGGGTTTGTAGTGCAGCTAGCAATTCTTGCTGCCCTATAGTGAGACTCTGTATCCAGCAACGTCACGAGCAGGGACAAAATGCCTATGATCCCACTGTCATTAGGCAGGACAGATCATAGCGGAATGCACAGAGCCAATCAGAGTGGCTCTGTGCCTTGTGATCGCTGTGATAGCCAATCACAACAATCACAAATGTAAACAGTATGACTGTTTACATTTGAAAGCCCTCCCCTTCCTCTCACGATGGAGGAAGGACGATCTTATGAAAGAAGATTTAATATATGAAGGGTAGGCAGCAGCACCTTTCATTATTTATTTTAATGTGGGATTTTTAACCCTTTCTAGGCTCCCTCCTGTACAACTCATTTCCATCCAGTCTGTAGTTCCTGTATATTAACCCCATAACCTCCCATATCCTGTACATTAACCCCTCATCTCCATTCTCCTACTGTATGTGACCTGTACATTAACACCCCCTGTCTCCATTCTCTCATTGTATGCGGTCTGTATATTAACCCCCCTATCTCCATTCTCCCATTGTATGTGACCTGTATATTAGCCCCCCTATTTCAATTCTCCCATTGTATGTGGTCTGTACATTAACCCTCTTATTTCCATTCTCCTACTCTATATGGCCTGTACATTAGCCCCCCTATCGCCACTATCCCCTGGTATGTGACCTGTACATTAACCCCTCTTCTCCATTCTACTGTATTTCTTGCCCAGTACTTTTATATTTAACCCTTTCATCTCTGAGCCTTTTTTTTTTAACATGCACACAAAAATGCCTTTTGTGGACTTAAACTAATTAAAGACATATAAGCCATATATTTTTCTAGGCAGCAGAGGACTTTTAGAGTTAATAGATGGAGTATTGTTTTCATGCTTGTGGATATAATAATGTATGTATACTGTATAATAATGTATCTATTTTATTTAAAATTAGAAAAAAATTCAATTGAACTTTATTACTGTGATAATGGAGCTGATATGGCCACATGAGACAGTAAACACAGGTGGTGACAGGTGCTCTTTATGGGGACCCCGGAAGCCTCTTCTGCCTTCAGCCAATCTAGGTAGAGGGACAGAAGCAGCTTTGTAGCTTTCTGACTCACTTCTACATTAAACGCGGCAGATGGCTGGTAAACCTAAGAACAAACTCGCAATTGGTTCAGTCTGATGCAGCTTTTGTCTGCCCCACCATAGTCATTAAAATGGTGGCAGCAAAAGGGTTAATACTTGGCTGATCTGTTCACTTCAAACTTCCAGCTAGCTCTTGGCTAGCGGCCTCCTCACTGGATAAGGTTGGGATACTGAAAACCCTCCTGTTATCGAGTTTGGCTGATTGAGTTCTGTTGTTTGATTGGAGTTCCCCATAAAGAATATGTACATGATCATTTCATTCTTCTGGTCCCCTCCCCCCTTCCCCACTGTCATTTCCCTATAAGCCCACTTGCCAGCTCTTCCACTCTCTTCAGTGTACAGCCTGCCTGTTGCCTCACATCCTCCCGAAGTCTTCCATATTCTGCACAGTGCTGTGGATCCCATTCACCTCAATGGAACGCCCATCCACAGGTCGTTGATGAGATATCAGCTGAAGTGATATGGAGGCCACATCATCTGTGCCATGTAGAGTTGTGAAGGTTTCGGTATTAAGGCACCAGGCTGGCTAAAACTTGATGATTTCAGAAGAGCAGGGTTAGGTTATAGGATTGTATAATCAATTACACAAATGCTGGGCATGGGCGCACCAGAATAAAAAAAGGACACTTATCTTTTAAAGTACTGTATATCCTAAGCCAAAACTTTCCGTTTTGGACTGTGTAGAAAGTGTTTAAATCCCCTGTCAGATTTTTGTTTTTTTCCCTGACGGGAGGATTATTCTTCATTTCCTGTCCTGTAGGGACAGCCGGAAGTTAGGAAATCTCTCCAAAGTGAAAAAATGTCCCGACTGGAAGACTTCAGATGGGTGGCGTGCTGATCGGAGTAGTATGGAACGGATATCACCATTGTGACTTCCGTGTCTGTTCCTACGATGGAGGAAAAAACTGAACTAACCAGATCCATGTTAAGTCTATGGACAGGCAGATGTACGCGGACATGTATCCATCCGATTACCTCCGATCTGTCACATTCAGGTCCACCAAAATGGACTTTGTCCCCTTTTTTTCCAACCTAGACGGGCTCGGAGGTTTGTCCGTTTTACACCCAGCTGCCCATATACATTGGATTCCCGATCAGATTCACCAGAAAATATGACACCGGAATTTGATCGCACCGCCTATATGAATGGGGCCTCCTCTATTCTTGTTCTGCTGCCAACTCAAATTTTTGTATGTCAGTGGTCAACATAAAGGTGACACAGACAGCAATAAAAACCGGACAGGGTGGTCTAAACCTTCCTCACTCAGCAAAATGAAACGTTTTGGCTGTAGATCCACTTTAATGTGCTGACATTTACACTGTCGCAGTGTCTTTGTATGTGTTGTATTTATGCTGTAATGTCCGACGCGCTGCACTCATATGGATACAGCGCTGGTGGTTTAATGTACTTTTTTTGAGCACCAAACATCATACAGTATGTCCTGACTTTTATTTAAGAGAGATTTGTTGTTTTTTTTTGCACTGAATCCATTGCTGGCAATGGTGAGAGCTGTATTATTTTGTACCAGTATTAAGCTCTGGTATTTACTGGCTGAGAACAGATAGTGCCTTGAAGCTTTATAATATGTTTGTTATGTATTATTATAATTCATGCGATACCATACCATAGAGCCTGTATTCCGGTGAGTTATACCCATAGGCTGCTTTAAGTGCCTTCAAAATGTCTGCGAAGACCAGAAAGAGAACCATTCTTGCTGCCTAAAGCTTCCAATCTGATTCTTCTGTTTTTTTCCCCCATTCTGATCTAGAACCACAGAAGGGAATCGAATTGCTTCAGATACCTTCATTTATGTCAGAGATTTTTATTCCCAGGGCTTTTATAAGCATGAAATGTTAAAAGCTGAAACATCTGTAAAAAAAGAAGTCAAGGCAACTGGACTTGTTGTATTTTTCATGAAGACCTTTCACTGGACATCCAACCAGCTTTCTCAATTCAGAATGACTTGTATTTTCTAAATTGAGAAAGCTGGTTGGATGACCAGTGAAACATCTTCAAGAATAATACAGCAAGTCCAGTTGCCTTGACTTATTTTTTACAGATATACCATGACCTGGATGAATCGGAACCTTCACAGACTAAAAAGGTGAAACACACATGGCAGCCATACTTAGCTCGGGCCTCCGCAACCTTTTACAAGTCCAGGCCTGACAACGATAGATGCTCTCTATAGTGAACACAAATCTTGGTACTTATCAACACTTTGTTGACCTAAGGATGAATCCAGTGGTCAGCAGAATGTTCACCGGGTTTTCTTTATGCTGGCATATGTGCATCCTGCACACTGTGAACTTTTAAACCCAGGTACATTCATATGAGCGTTGACATGTTCATTGATGTCTTTATATGAACCTCGATGATGACTATGAATATGCTTTTGGAAGTATTTTTGGATGAGCAATAAACACGGAAAACACAAAACGTAGAAGATTTTATATTTATGAACTATTACAAAAATAACCTCAGGAACTGCTTTCTGTATGCATAATTTTTATTCCTATTATTCATATTA